AACAGTTGCATAATATATTTGGGCTATTACTCTAGCTTTTGACATACATTCCTCCGAAATTTTAAATTGGTTCTTAATCGCGAAATTAGTAATTTTTTCTCCTACGAACGTTTTGCGAGTTTTCATTACTTACTCCGAGATTGGGCGTCTTTTTTTTAATGAAAATACATAAAATTATTGCCTATATATAAATAACTTCAACAATTTATAGTCGTCTCTAAGCACTCTTTCTGTTTTTGACTTATGATTATATCGTTTTTAATTTATTTTCAGTGTTAATATTTTTTTCTCGGCTATGAATTATATAATCCTTCGGAAGTTGTTTTTCATTGTATTACTTGATAATGAAACAGATTTTAAACAAACATGGCATGAATGCGTCTAGATATACGAACACTGACAATGAGCATGCAACCTCGGCATGCCATTTCATGCTCAATGAAAAATGTCCATAAAATTAATTCAAATAAGCCAGTTTCTGAATTTTTGAGATAATCAAACAAGACGATGAGGATGCATTTCCTTTCTGATGCCTGCATGAAAGTGTTATTTTTTTTCACTGCGCGAGGCAACAAAAAATAAATAATAAATAAAATAAAATTTCCGTTTTAGTTGCGCGACATATTTGTTGCAAGCCGGATTCGCAAGTTATCTATTAAAAGTAATGCACGGTGATTTCTTGAATAATTAAGTTCCCGATTGTATTAAGCAACTGAAATTGCCTCAGACGGAGTTTACTTATAATGAATTAATATCACAGCAAGTTCTTCTCTACCACCATCTGGGATTTTTATTTTCGAACTTCAGATATATAATAAATGATTTGACATTCTGTATTTTCAGTTTCAATGAGTTCTTTGTTGAGTCAGTAGGCTTATCGTTAACTGCTTAGAATTATATATTTTGAAATGTTTAATAGGAACCTGAAAATGAAGATAAGATTGCTATGATTTGATACTTTTTACATATTTTTAAATTTATTTAATATTTTTCAAGTTTCTTGAAACTTTAAACTCATTTTTATTGAAGAGATGTAACTTTGAACTGGACTTATGATATTAGGCAGATACAGATAGCTTAAAAATATTAACGGGAAAAATTATTTTGACCCATACAGAGGAGACACGTTTTCATGCAAAATAGTTTTCAGTTTCTGTAAATGAATTCGCAGTACAAAAGAGTTATTACAAGCAATTTCTAAAGGAGATAAATGCGAAAATAAAACTTACAGATTTGATCATTTGCCTGGTGACTTCAATGTAACTACTTTTGGAGGGCATTATGCAGAAACATTGTTTATAAATATCATAACATTCTAAGTTAATTTCAAAACATATCTTTGAAGGCTTCTGTACTTAAAGCAAAAAGCTGATGGAAATCAGATAAAAACATTAAAAAAAATAATAATTTAAAAAAAAAAAACGAAATTTTTTTTTTCGGAATTTTTCAGCGTGACTAATTTTGGCTCTATTTATCATTTTTAAATTTTGCAGTGATTTGTAATGCAGTCTGTGCAATTGAGGACAGATCTTGAGCCAAATTTCAAAACTCTGTTACATTTACGCTATTTTACGATAATTCACTACATAATATACCTTATACATTTCTGTTCATTTCAAATATCCCCAACTAAAATTTTTAAGATTTTGCTTAATACTTTGTAGTCCATTTCCTTGCAAAACCTGTATATTAATTCATCACTTACTACAAAACACAGTCCTATATGTTGAGCATTTCTAAACACCTTTGTCGGCATTCCCTTCCAACACCCACCACACATACAAAATTTTTTTTAAGTTTTATGTATTTTAAAATATTTTGTCGCCTGGATCTTTCTTTACCTCTGAATTTTGTTTTTGCAATTTCACCTTTTTTGTACCTGAATACAAAGTGTTTACGTGTATTATTTAATTTTAATAAAAACATGATATATCAGTTAACCTGTTCTTGATACGTTTACATTCGTCATGAAAATTTTCAGGACTAAAGACTTAAAACGCTTTCAACTTTACATTTAATTTATCGATCAGAATAGAAGCACTTTTGATCATTATTTCATAATTCTATTACGCTAAAGAAACCTTCTTAGGCTAGTCAACATCCTTTAGCGTGAAATTTGGAACTTACATGGAAGGTCTACCAATCTTACCTCCCAGCATTTCAGAGAAAAATATATATGAGCCTGCCTGTCTGAAAATGCATATGAATAAACCAATTAGGCACTAAAACGCTTTAAAAAATAAATAAAATTATGTAAATTATAACGATAATTGGCACTTTTCTAAAATTTCTGAACATTACTTCCTGAGTTCCCAGATAAAAGATTCTCCGAGCGAAACTATAGCATTGCTAACATGTAGATATAAGCAGAATCTTATTTTGCATGCATTAATTGCGTGCGTCTCATTCCTTTATATTACCAATAAGTATTTGGACACCTGTGATAGATAAGAAAAACTAACTTTATTCAAAATCAATAGTTGGTAGAGCCTCCACGAGAGGTAATTACAGCGTGCACCCTCCGGAGTATACTTTCCACAAGTCTTTGTATGACAGCTAGTGGTATTTTCTAGAAGACATAGAAGTTCCTTCACCGATTTTGCACGGGTAGTGCACCCCTGAATTCGGCGATGCAACTCGTCCCAGAGGTTCTCGATAGGGTTCAGGTCTGGACTTTGGGCAGGCCAGTCCATTCGATGAACTCCATTGGCACCATATCAATCCTTGGTTGACGTCGAAACTTGACAACTGGCATTGTCGTCCTGAAAGTAACAGGGGTCCAACCCGTAAAACTGCCACAACGTAGGAAGCACATTGTCATCCAAAATAGTGCAGCAGGCATCGGAGTTGAGGTTACCATGACTGGGGACCAAGGGTCCCAGCCCATACCATGAGAAACACCCCCAGACCATAATTCCACCTCCGCCGAACTTGACTGTTGGCACAATGCATTCTGGCAGGAGACGTTCTCCAGGTAGACGCCAGACCCAGACCTTGTCTTCTGAACGGTAAAGGGTGAACCTTGATTCGTCACTCCAAAGAACCCGTTTCCACTGATCTACGGTCCAATTTCGATGTGCTTTGCACCACATTAACCGAGCAGGGCGGTTGGACTTTGTGATCAAAGGCTTATGGGCAGCAGCACGACCAGGAAAACCAAGCAGATGTGCTTCCTTACGGATGGTATTCATTGAAACAATACTCCCGGATGCCTGTTGAAACTCCTCGCGGATGAGGGCCATCGGTTGGGTGCGGTTCTTCCGAATTTCTCTGGACAGCACTCGTCGGTCTCTATCTCCCAGTTTCGTTGGTCTGACGACTCGGGGCACATTCCGACAATCACCGCTCACTTTCCACTTCTTAATCACATAGGCCACTGTCGATTTTGGGTACTTCAGATTGCTAGATATGCCCCTTAAGGATCGGCCCTATTTGTGATACCCGATAATTATACCTTTCTCGAAATCAGAGAGCTCCGAACTGCGAGGCATCTTGCATGCGACTAAAGCCGATGCTGTTTCCTACACGATATATACCGGCGGAATCCGTGACGTACCTTAGGACCGCAGATATCGTCATTTGCATAGGTGTCCAAATACTTATTGGTAGTCAGTGTATGTTATTCAGTGAAGTTTATACATTTAAGGATGGTACATTCATGAGTGATCCATTCATTGATATGCATTCATATGCGATACAATAAACTGGTAAATACATATATTTAATGATATAGCGCTCTTTTTTTCGAATTTCGCACATTTTGCAAAAACGTTCATCTTTGGAGATCAAAATTTTAATCTTTCATATTTTTCTGGTTTATCTATTAACATTTAGCAGCTAATTTAAAGTAATGCCCTTCCTTTCTTAAATACAGACTCAATTATATTTTTCAAACCAGTTAGGAGTTCATGTTTGATAGATCATCCTTGTAAGGTTCCAAATTGTGTTTTCGTTTCGCTATTTTCCTTTCATTTTCACCTAACAACTCGTTTGATTTTCTAGTCCTTTACCATTATATTCTTGGTAGATTTTACATTATTTTTATGCTATTTTTGATAATTTATTTCATAGACTTAGTTAATATGTACGAAACCGGTTTTCTGTTATTAAATATAAGTAATTACAGTTTGAAAAATACATATTGTCACCAATTTTTGGAAAAGCTTTGCCTATTATGATGATTAATTTTGATAAAAAGAATTTGCCATTTTTTCATTATAAATTATAAAATAATACACATCATTTATTTTCATTTAAAAACCATTGTTGTTAGAAAAAATAGCATGATGTTAGAAGAGAAGTACTTAGCTTACAAGAAAATAAAAATGTAACCCAGAACCTATTACTGCCATTATATACGCTATTTATACTTCAATTAAGGTTCAGATAATTTAATTTCAGACTGGCCGCATTATGATCAAGCTAAATTTACCTTATATATATATATATATAAGTCTTCAGACCAAAGTAGACGAGTCCTTTAACTGATTAGGTTAAAGCAATTTCCTTGGGAAATCTCTAGAATTAATTTACTCTGTGCATTATTCTTTGCGCAAAAGTTTTGGTCCTCTTAAAGATTCTCAGACATTTCCTTATAATTCCTCTGAAATTAATTAAACCTTCATGTGTTTCATAATGCTACAATGTTTTTGTTGCTTAAAGAGGGTTGGTTCAAGAATTTTCCTTATTGCCCTACTAAACGCAATTTATCCTGGACATATTGCATTCCAGTAGAAACGGTTTGGTTCCTTAAAGTGGTTGAGTTCGATTAGAATCCAGTTTATGTAATACATTCATCCTACAGAAAAGTTTTAATTGCTTAGAGAAAGTTAATTTTAGACATTTTCCTTAATATCACTCTTATATCAATCGCATTTAAATAGATTTCATTAGCCGACAGTAGTCACTTTAGGCTGTTTAAACTAATTAAGTTTATAGAAGGTTCAGGCTTGAGCCCGAACATCTGCATAATACCTCCCAAGCAAAAGAGAACAACTTACGCTAGGTACCAGATGGTCTTTGCTGCCGACTCTGGTGAATCTGCTCCTATTGAGAAGCTTTCGGACTGCCTTTTCTGTAGGTTCATTGTACTTCATGAAGGTGACATAGGCGGCATAGCAGGCGAGCAAGACGGTGGCCTCGTACCAATAAATAATGTTGTCCTTGAAACAGACTATCAGCACAATAAGACTTACTGAATAGAAGGTCACGTCGCGAAACAATGGCCACCAAGTCAAGCTGAGAACAGTTTTGCTGAAGATGGCACACATTGAGATGACAAACAAGATGTTGAAGACGGCAGAGCCAACAATGGTTCCGATGCCGACATCATCATACGATATAAAGACACCGATGACACTAGTGAAGAGTTCCGGGGCACTACCTCCCGCCGCCATGAACGTCGCACCGGCCACATCTTCCGAAATGTCCAACTTAACGGTGATTACATCCAGAGCTGGCACGAAGAACTCATCACACACGATGGCCAGTGCGACAAACATATACACAAGACCAAAGACATGAAGGATAACAGCCCCGTGCCTCCGCTGTTGGGCAGTGAAGATGTCCTCCGGGAACTGGGCTTGGGGAGGTTCTTCTTCTTCGCTGCTGTTTGCCCTGCTTTCATTCCCGGCACTCTCCAAAAGGTGCCGCGTGACATGTCTCGCATAGGCATAAACAGATTCATCGTCTTCGAGGAGCAAGTGGCTGGTGGAAAAACGAGCACAAGTTCCTTTTCTTTTGTATCCAGCGAAGAGAGAGAAGTAAGTTATAACAAAAACAGCGGACAAGAAAACTAATTTCGGATCGCGCCATCTCTGACGATATAGCTGGGGCCGCATGATTCCTTCCGAGTCGAAATGTCTAATATTACGTCTGGATGTCGTAACTGCCGAGGAGGGACGTCCTGTCTTCAAAAGACTTGACGCGATGCCGACGAGAGGAGTCTTTTACATGGCCATGAGCTGCACAGGCCATTTGCTCCATATTTAGAAAACTTTCGGTGAGCTCAGATCACTGTCTTGCCTAAAAAAATAAAAAAGGTAAATAAGTAACTGCTCATTGATTTGTATCATACGCATATTAACTAGAAAAAACGGAAATTAATTTTCCTTTTGTAAATACATTTTTTTACAAAAGCCGAAATACAGTAAGCCCTCCTATGGACATCGTTTCCCTAAAATTGTCACTTCTAAAAATCACCAGTATTCCCAAGAACATAAATAGGCATAAAACATAGAAAAGGAAAGTATAACAAAAGACTTTTTTAAAAATCACAGAGAATGAAAGTTATCTGAAACCTGGAGTGTAGGGTCTCTCTATTTACGCTTTCATAACTAAGACATAAAATCTTAAAAAGAAACTTTTAAACCTCAGACCAGCTTCACAAAGCACAAACAGAAAGAATATTTTAGTTGTCTTTTCATACAAAAATATTCTCGCCACGTCATAAAATCATATCTTCAACCTTTAAATCAGGGACGTCCAACACGCGCTGCGTTAGTCCCAAAGCAAGTCCGAGTTGGAAAGAAATAAAATGTGTTTTGAATGGAGTAGAATTAATAGGGGGCAAGATACTGTGTGTTCTCAAAGTTTTCCAAGGTGTGTTTATTGAGGCGTGATGTTCTCAAAGCCTGTAAGGATCCTAAGTTTTACTAACGTTTATTTTATTTTAAAACTGTACTATCACTTCTTATTTTCTACTTCCGGCCAGAATTAAATGATTTAACTTGTTTATGCAAATTGTCTTGCTAACGCCAAGTACTTAAATTGTGGCTTTTGGCCAAGGAAGAGACAGGAAGGAGTTATTGGAAGCAAGCCACTTGCCATTGTAGTTTTACGAGTTTTCGCTCTGTTGCTGGTTGCCTTCAAGGCCAGAGGTTTAGTCCTCTTGATAATTCCAAACGTATCGTAGTTTTAGCAGCTCGGCGTACTACATACGGACCTTTGTTAAAATAAAGGCCAATCTTAATGCTAGGCACTTGTATACTAATTCAAAGTTAGTTTAGTTAAAGTTCTAGTTAGTAGTTTTTATATTCTTACGTTCAGATCACAAGTGGTTGGTCTCTGTATCCCGAAGTTCGGGAATACCTGTAGAGATAGAAAATAAAGGTTTTCGTATACTCTTCCTGCTTGTATTGTCTACTTCACAATTTCTTGAACATAGCTTGAGTAAGCTTCCTGTTCCGAGTCAGGACCATTCATGTTTCCAAAGCAAGTCAAAAGAAACACAAATCCTGATAATCTGTCAGGACTTGTGTTTCTCTTGATTTGCTTTGGAAACATGAATGATCCTGAATAAGAACAGGGAGCTTACTCAAGCTATGTTCAAGAAGGTGTGAAGAAGCTAACACAAGCAGGAAGGGTATACGAAACCCTTTATTTTCAATCTTTTACAGGCACTTCCGAACTTCGGAATACAGATACCAACCACTTGTGGTCTGAACGTAAGAATATAAAAACTACCAACTAAAACTCTAACTAAAAGCTAACTTTGAATTAGTATATAAATGCCTAGCACTAAGACTGGCGTTTATTTAAAAAAAGGTTCGTATGTAGTACGCCGAGCTGCTGAAACTACGATACGTTTGCAAATATCAAGAGGGCTAAACCTCTGGCCTTAAAGACAACCAGCAACCGAGTGAACATTCGTAAAACTACAGTGGCAAGCGGCTTGCTTCCAAAAACTCCTTCTCTCTCTCCCGCTTGGCAAAGGAGCCACAACTTAAGTACTTGGGCGTTAGCAAGACAATTTGCATAAACAAGTTAATGCATTTAATTCTGGCCGGAAGTAGAAAATAAGAAGTGATAATACAGTTTTAAAATAAAATAAACGTTAGTAAAACTTAGGATCCTTACAAGCCTATTTCAAGCTGTGTGCGAAATAATTTTATAAATTTTGTTATATTGTTTAACTAATTAAGTCATTTATTTATATATTTATTATTCCGAGTTCCGCCATTAGGCACTGCACGTAAAGGGGGGATACCCCATGAAGAACATTTTAAGGAAAACTGGCTCGTACCCATGTTACACATGGCGAAAACCATGAAGAAAATGCTCATGCATCCAGCCGATTCGTGAGGACTAGAACTCTGGGCTGGACTACCAGTATTCAGCGGCTTTTACCGTTCGGCTGGAATTTCGACATTGAATATGTAAATGAAAAATCAGTTTAGTGATTCAACGTTGTGTACATATGGATACCGTGGTGAATAATATTATTTCAACTGTGATTCTTAACTTTTTTAATTTTCTTTGTTCTGATTTTTATTGCTTTGGGGTTCCGCAAAATAAAGGTACGCCACATATTGCTATATATCGCGAAATGTATAATAGTAATAATAATATAATAATATATAATAATCGCAGAATATTGCTATATTCCGCGAAATCAATTCTTAAATGAACGTTCACGATTAAAATTGTCATTTTATCATCGTACTACTGAAGCTTGAATATATTATAAGGATTTACATCCTGCCTGGGTTTCTACGCATGCGTGCACACTAATGACAGCAGTTGTAATTATTGCTGTCTTCGCGGATACAGTAGTTTATGAGTGAAATTAATTTTGTTTTAGTAACTGTTGCTCTATTCATTTAGATACTGATCCAGTATTTTTAATTAATAGATTTTTCCTTTATGCATGTTATTTTTCCTTTAATATTAAAAAAATAGGAATTGTAAAAATCTTACAAAATTGGCTTTAAGTATACTTAAAATTATTTATTTTTATGTGTCTTCTGTCTTATGTGTCTTGTGTATCTACAGGGTGGTTATAAAAACACGTGAGGTATTTAGAGCCCTGTAGAGACTAAAATATTGAACGAAGCATAATGAAATTTGATGAGCGACCATGGGATTTCTTTTTCTAAATAATAATGATAATAGTAATGTAGTTGCTGATTACCGAATCAAATGCATTAATTTGTACAACCGCGTTCCGTGTAGCGATCATGAGGCCAAAAGGAAAAGCTGGGAGAATTTTTATCATTCTGAGGCCAACTGCCTTTCTATGGCTCTTACCTTACGTGCCCGTGCTTTGTTGGTCAAATCGTTTTTTTCAGTCCAACGAGAATACCAATACTAGTATTTAATCATTCATTATGCGTACTAATACACTTTTACAGCGCCAGTGTTTCCCCTAGTGACAAATTTTTGTACTATGTTTTTCAGAAATAAAAATCGCATGGTCGATTATGTGCGTCCATCAAAATTGGTTATGTTTCGTCTAATACTTTACTCGTTAGAGAGCTCTGAATACACTCGATACATCGAAAATTTCCTTATTTCTACGCAGTTCATCCACAGTTATATGGCAAGACAGTTGAATGGTGAAGTTTAATTGTACGACAAAACAGCTGATTTAGACTGTCTGTGTTTCTGTACATTAAGCGAAAATGGTTAACAGTGTATCGGAATTTAATTGTTTAAACTGTAAAATTTAATAAAAGTTTAATAAAAGTTTAATAAAAACTGTTATGTTACAGAAAGAATGTAACATAACAGTTTTTATTTAAGACAAGTAAGTAGGTATTTTTTACTTCATTATCGAGCATTTTTATCTGCATTCGTGTGGTTACTTAATAAAAATAAGAAACATTTAGCTCTATTATTAACTTAATGTTTGCATTTGCCAGATATATAGGCATGTAGTTTGAAAATCTTCCTTTCAACATGAACTTCGGGTCTCAACAAAAAGCCATATACAAAAAAGAAGATATATCTGTGAAAGAAAATCCTTCAATTAAAAATGGACAGATTTCTTTTACATGCTTCCAATTTCGATGCCTATCAAGGAATGTTTCGTAAGAACAAAGTAGCGATACCGAAAAAAGACATTATATTTCAGCATGCACAGAAAATGTGCCAGATATAACTTGCCATGATTAATACAGGTGATAGTTCTGAAATCAGTCTGTCTCATCAAACAATTATCAGAATAATTAACGAACTTGGGAACATTTGTCGAAAAGGGATTGAAAAATGAAAACTGTAGTTTTAAAATTTTATTCTTTGACGATGGATGAAGATACTGGTGCTACTGATATGGCTCAATTTGTTATAACTGAAGTAACGGTATCTTTAGTATCATTAAAAGATGATAACATAGACATACAAAGAGCATTATATTCCATAGGAGTATAGATTCTAAATGACTTACCGGAAATCAAATGCTCTCCGGACATCGTAAGTCTGCTACAAGACTATCAGAGATCGTTATCTCCAGTTCACAACGGATGCCGGTATAAGAATTTTCGTGATACTGGTGCTACTGATATGGCTCAATTTGTTAAAGATGGTAATAACGAATGTATTATAACTGAAGTAACGGTATCTTTAGTATCATTAAAAGATGATAACATAGACATACAAAGAGCATTATATTCCATAGGAGTACAGATTCTAAATGACTTACTGGAAATCAAATGCTCTCCGGACATCGTAAGTCTGCTACAAGACTATCAAGACAAGATCGTTATCTCCAGTTCACAACGGATGCCGGTATAACAATTTTCGCGACCTCAAGAGGTTGCCCATAAGGCCTCTTCTTAGGACAAAGCATTTTCGAATTTAATGGCTAATACAGCTTTAAAAATTTCAATGGAACTTCGCATACACAGACTCAGGCCTACGGGAACTATTGTCTGCTGGTGTTAAGTGATAAAAGCAGAATAATTCTGGAAGCAAACGCAAATAAAAGCATACAAAATTTCATGATTTTTCAAGGAAACATAAAGTCTTAACAGCAAAATTCCAAGCTTCCTTCGTCTCCTACTGAGGTTCTAGATATCGTCATCCAATAGGTTTTAGCAGGAGAAAAATTAAAATAGTCAACGAGCTAAAATATCTTGGCTTATTAATAAACAACCACTTCTTATGGCACCAATATATTAAATATCTAAAAGGAACATTGAACTTTTAGCTAACTATCTACGAAGAACGAATGCCCCTACATGGAACGTTCCCTCTAAGCTTTTCAAACTGCTGTACCAAGCAGTCATAGAAAAGATAGTAGTCCA